CCGCGACGGAGCTGTCGAGCTTTACTCATGGTTTCTGTCTCATCTGCCGGTTTTTTTGCTCTGATTTGGCCATGGAGGTGTTCAAAATTAAATTTCGAGTGAATAAATTTTTTTTACCTTTTTTGGCAATCGAAGGTGGCTCCAACATGGCCGCGGGCGGCGGTCAGCTCCCTTCTCTGGCGATTGGTTCTTCTTTTCCTGCAGGGGGCTGGTGGCTAGAGTTAGGGTTTGGTGTGAAGTTAGGTATTTATATCCATCTCCCTTTAATCTGGATCGTTCATCACGTTTGATCTCGACCGTCCGATCACGTTTAGAGAGAAAATGAATCTGGACCGTTTATTGCGATTTGATCTGGATCATACGATTACGTTTAAAGAGAGAACAAATCTAGACTGTTCATCACGTTTAATCGTGACCGTACGATCGTGTTTGAGGAGGGAACAGATCTGGATCGTCCACGCGCACAGGAACAAATCCGGATCGTCCGATACAGGCATGCGGATTGCCATTGTGGCCTCCCGCGTGGTACTAAGTCAGCGTGCTTTGCCACACGACATGCTCCGGTTTGTCGGAACTACTGACTACGCGGTCCTACGTGGTATATTTTTCTTAAATTATATTTTGACCCCCAGTTTCTAATTTTTCTTTCAAAAATATCTCACGAACCCAAATTTTTACCCATTTTTTCTAAAATTATTTTCAATTTCATCATCCACATATTTTTTCTTAATTTTTACATTAAATAAAAATTTATAAATTTAAAAATTATACTTAAATATATTTATTTTTATTTTTATTTTTTTAAAATTAATCAATGGCCAAATTTCAGGCCCAGGTATTACAACTCTCCCCTCTTAAAAGAAATTTGGTCCCTTAAATTTATTTATCTCTCACTCAATCAAATAGTTGGGGATATTCGGATTTGAAGTCTGATTCTAGCTCTCATGTGACCTCTCTCTGTGTGTAATTCTGTTATAGGACTTTAACAAAAAAAAAAAATTTCAGTTGCGGAGTACTCTGCTCTTTTAGTCCACAACACCCACCGGTACTTCCTCGTAAGACAGATCCTCTTATAGTGAAAGGGACTCGTGGGCCAAGACCTAAGAGGGGTTCAGGTTGTACTTGTATAGCATGGATACATGAAACACATTATGGACCTTGAATAGTTTTGGAGGTAGTGACAGTCTGTAGGCGGTGGTGCTAATCCTGTATAAGATTTCAAATGATCCAATAAACTAGGAATTTAGTTTCTCCCTCTTGCCAAACCTACTGATTCCCTTGAAATGAGTGACCTTAAGGAACTTCTTAAATTTCAAATCCCTCCTCCGGGTATCCGCATAACTCTTCTGCCTGCTCTGAGCTATCTGAATATTCTTCCTGATCTTAACTATTTTGACTGTAGTCTCCTCCACAAGATTTGGATCAAATAATTTTCTATCATCCACTTCTTCCCAACAGATCAACGATCTGCATAAACGGCCATACAACGCCTCATATGGAGTCATGCCAATACTTGTTTAGTAGCTTTTATTGTAAGCGAACTCTATTAAGGATAAATAATCATCCCAATGGCCTCCGAAGTTAAGAATACAAGCTCGGAGCATATCTTCAAGTGTACAGATCGTTCTTTCTAATTGTCCGTCGTTCTAAGAGTGGAATATAGTACTAAGGGATAATTTCATTCCTATAGTTTGCTGAAAACTAAACTAGAATCGAGAAGTGAACCTGAGGTCCCTGTCGGACACTACTATCACTGACACTCCATGTAACCTGACTATCTCCCAGATATACATTCTTGTTACGTTGTCCAAGGGGTCGGTCATCTTGATGGTCAAGAAGTGGGAAGACTTGTTGAGCTGGTCAATAATTACCCAAATGGTATCATGTCCCGAGCGTGTCCTAGGTAATCCTATCACGAAATCCATTATGATGTGTTCTCACTTCTACTCCGAAATTGGTAATGGTTGAAGTAGCCCGTCTGAACGTTGATGCTCTGCTTTGACTTGCTGACATACTAAACACCTGAAAAAAAATCGGTCACATCTCTTTTCATTCCGTTCCACCAAAATCGGGATCGCATACTTTGATACATCTTGGTGCTTCCGGGATGCATGCAAATTTTAACATATAGGCCTCAGTCATGATGTCCATTTTCAGTTCACTGTCATATAGAACACACACTCTGTCTTAAAATCTAAGCAACCCATCGGTAGAGATTCGAAATTTTGAATTTACTCTCTGTTCTGCATCTTTCTTTAGGGCTATTATGGTGGAATCAGCGGATTGAACTTCCTTTATTCTCTGGATCAACTCAGGTTAAACAGTCAGGTGGACCAAACATGTAACTTTCTTCAGGTCCTAGAGTCGTACCTGTTGTGCGGCCCCTATTGCCTTGTATTCTAAAATCATTGAGCTAATATACCTGCACTTTTTCTATTGAGTGCGTCAG